TCGCTGATGAAGAAATTGAACAGCGCAGGCCCCAGGACCGAGCCCTGGGGGACTCCGCTACCCACCTCCCCCCAGGTCGAGTATGACCCATCCACCACCACCCTCTGAGTGCGACCCTTCAGCCAATCTGCAATCCATCTGACTGTGTAGGCATCTATGCCACAGTTGCCTAGTTTTTTAACTAGGATGGGGTGAGAGACGGTGTCAAAGGCCTTGCTGAAGTCCAGAAAGACTACATCCACCGCTACACCTGCATCCATGGCCTTTGTGACCTGATCGTAGAAGGCAATCAGGTTGGTCTGACATGATCTCCCCCTAATAAATCCATGCTGATTGCCCCTGACAATCACCCCCAACATTATACGTATGAAGAAACAAAGAAGACCAAGACCCCAATATTCTGAAAGTGTATGATAATCATCATATGTTTTTAAATATCTGTTTTGGTCCAAGTTATCGGTTACTTTACATACATTTAAAAAAAAAAAAAAAAGACAAAACAGCTGAACCAAAGTGTTCACAAATTATTTTAGCCTAATGGATCTACATCTAAAACCTACCAGAAGGTAATCAGCATAAAGACAGTCATAGACCACAGCAGTAAGGAAAAAAGTTACTATTATAGCACATACATCTCGATGGTTCCATTAATTAAAAAAAAATGAAAGAAACTTTTCTTGTAGAAGACATTAGGGTCTGGGATAAGCAGTGCCAGAGACAGAATTAAGAGAGATTTATACAGGGCTACCTTGGCAAGGGGCATTCCTTTACTGTACAGCATTTCTGTGTCCTCCCCTTTCCCCCCAATGAATCAGTAGTTGAAGGGGAGCAAGAGAGGGGCTCTTGTTGAATCCCTGAAGCTTATTGGTCATACACTAGATCAGCTAGAATTCTGCCTTTTTTACAAGCCCAATATATGATTGATTTTTTTTTTTTTTTTCAAATTACATGGACTTTTAAATGGAACTTTATTTTAAAGAAAAAACACTATAAAAGCATTAAGGACACAAAGTAAATCAACTTACTTTAAAGCAGGAGGTATTTACTTATGTTGGTCTAAAGCCTGGGGGGCATCTCAGAAATTAATCAGTTGCCCTTATTTTAAAGCAAGAATCCTAATATTCATTCTACAAAATAATATGCTGAGTAGACAAGCAAGTTTTACTGTTGCAGCTAACACTTACCTGTAAACAATTCTCTCTCTCTGCAAATCCTCCAGGCCACAGCATAGCTCTGCAGCATAAAAAACAGCTCTTTTTTCATCAAAGCCAGGATCTCCCATGTTGTATATATGAAACTTCAAATCTCCTCCATTCATAATGGTTAATACTAAACATAGAGCATCTTTAGTCTCATAGGTGTAGCATAAACTAACCTGAAGACAGAAAAAAAATTTCTACTTAATTAATGAACCCCAAATTTCTTTTTTCATCATTTTAAGTTAGTCAGTATGTAAATCATATTTGTAATTAAGCAAATAGGCAATACATAAATTCTGCTAGTATTATTTTGAGCAACCAGTCACTTTCATTTTTAAAGAATTGGGGATACCCCAACTAACTACAACATCTTTAGCTTCGGCATTATAGATTCCAAACCATTTTTTAGTCTGGACAGAAAAGATACAGGATAATTTGACTTACATCCAAGGAATCACCATCTCTTATTGGTGGTACCTCAGCTGTCAGTCCACACAAATAATGAAAACAACTTGCATATATACCATCTTTTATAGTCATTCTACAAAACAGTGATATTACCTGTTTCCAAGTCCGCACACAAGAGTTATTTTTTACCAGGAGAAATCATCCACCGTTAGAAATGATTCCAGGAGAGGAAGCAGTACATTCCATTCAGCCTGCAACTGCCCTCTCTCCTGTGCTCATCATACCTTTCTAAAACTAGGGTGATCCTGGTCTGGGGAAGGTCCAGTTTCCAGTTTGGCCTGGTCCAGAGTAAGAAGCAGACAGGAGGTTTGCAACACCATTCCGTCTGCTTGGTTCCAAATGTCTGGGAGCTGAGCAGACTGTGCAGCAGGGCATAGCCTCCTGTCCACTTTTCACTCCAGGTTGTCTGATGTTCAAGGAGCTGATAGGGAGCAGCTGGTGGCTGCTCCTTCTCTCCTGGTCTACAGGAGGGGTCAGAGCAGCTACTCCCCTCCCCTGCACCTTCTTCAGGTCAGGGTGACCCCAGTATATGGAAGGCACAGGAGCCTTTCCCTGCAGCTCTGCCCCTGCTAATCTCTGGGAAGTGTTAAGCCACTGGGAAAGTGTACAAGCATTCACTCTCCAGGAGTGACTTCTAACTGGTTGGAGGTGGGTTATTTTTCTCCTGGGAATGCCATTTTTTCTCTGGGAGCAAAAGCTGGAATCTCTGTACACTCGTGGTGTCTATCAGGAGAGTTATAATTCTCCCAGTAGAAATGGAAAGTCTGTACATTGCCCAAATAAGACTTTGAGAAACCTAGAGAGGCTACATGGGAATCAACTGCAGCCCAAATTATGTAATTCAGAATACTCAACTTCTAGACCCTTACTATAGCCACTAGATGATTTTTTTTTCTTGGTTACAGCACCTATTAATAGTAAAATAAAGATCTGTATTAAAACCGAGCATCACTTCTTGCACTGTTTAGCAAACAAAGTGAAAAAAGTGACTTTACAGTGCCAAAATTTTGTATAGCAACTTGTATTAAAAATAAATAAATCTAAAAGTATTTAATTAAATTCAAACAAACCTAGCCCGTAAAACATCTAGGCAATGACAAAGAGAGGAAATAATGAATAACATAAAACCCTCATTCATACAGCCAATTAAAAGATGAGACTGACATTAGGATTCACAAGAGGAAAATAAGTGTATTTGTCCTGTATAAGTTTATTTAATGATATGAAATAGAGAAGCCTTTTCTCCTGGCCAAACTGAAAAAGGAAGTCAAATATTAGTGTAAGATGGCATGAAGACACTGAATGCTGGCTAGAGACATGTACTCACCCCTTTAGACAAGTTATTGCTCTTGTTTTTGCTCAAGTTATTTGACTAGGCTCAAACAACCTAACACTGTAGCATCTGTACATTTCACATTTGGCCTAAGAAAGAAAATACTTCGCTCTGTGTGTTAACACATGCTGTATATGTTAACATAGAGCCCAGCATTTACTGAGATGTTAAATCAGATTAACAGGCAGCCTATTTTAAGACAAACTGAGTTGTATAAAGGACTAATCTGAAAATAGCATATACTGAAGCCAGGCTATGGTGAATTGTGGTTCTCAACCTTATTAGACTCCAGGCACCCTTTATTAGATACGAGGTACCCCTTGGAAAATTCTTGCTCTTAGCTTTCTTCTTTTTGTCTTTTTTTTTTGACTATGGAAAAAAAATAATAAAGCAATTCTGTTGCAAATAACTTAGAAAGACCACAGCAGGTCAGAATGGTTTGGACACTAAGGATTCTTATTTGAAATCTCTTTGAATTTGCTTTCAAAATGTGTCTGGGTGCTTGCACATCTTATTTGAAATCTCTTTGAATTTGCTTTCAAAATGTGTCTGGGTGCTTGCACATCTAGCGGTGCTAATACTAAGCAGCACCCTGCAACACTCTTAAAAGCATCTTGTAGCACCCCAGCGTGCCAAGGCTGTTAACTTTGAGAACTGCTGCTTTAGAAAATTAAAAAGCCAGGGCAAGTTGGTACCTTATAGACTAACTCTTTCAGACAGACATAAGCTTTTCACAGTGAAAGTCCTACAGCCTACTTTTGCCTAACATCAGATTAACACAGCTAACTAACTCTTCTCTAGAGTACTAAAAATACAGAAGAAAGGTCTCTGTGATAAGATATTTTATTGAACTAACTGTTAATGACCCTTTTCCATTCAAATGGTCATAGAATAATAGAAAGTTAGGGTTGGAAGGGACTTCAGGAGATTATCTAGTCCAACCCCCTGCTCAAAGCAGGACCAGCCCCAACTAGACCATCCCAGCCAAGGTTTTGTGTAGTTGGATCTTAAAAAACTCCAAGGATGGAGAGTCCACAATCTCTCTAGATAACCTGTTCCAGTGCTTTAATACCCTCCTTGTGAGACAATTCTTCCTAATATCTAACCTAAACTTCTCTTGTTGCAACTTGAGACAATTGCTCCTTGTTCTATCATCTGCCACCACTGAGAACAGGGTTTCATCCTCTTTTGAACCCCACTTCAGATAGTTGAGGGCTACTATTAAATCTCCTCTCAGTCTTCTCTTCTCTAGACTAAATATGCCCAGATTCCTCACCCTCTCCTCTTAAGTCATGTGTCTCAACCCCCTCACCATTTTTATTGCCCTGTGCTAGACTATCTCCAATTTGTCCAAATCCTTTCTGTAGTAGGGGGCCCAAAACTGAACGCAGTACTCCAGATGTGGCATCACCAGTGTTCAATAGAGGGCAACACTCCCACCAATGCAGCCCAGTATGCCATTAGCCTTCTTGGCAAAAAGGGCACACTGTTGGCTCATATTCAGCTTCTTGTCCACTGTAACAGCCAGGTCCTTTTCTGCAGAGCTGCTACCCAGCCTGTCAGCCCTGAGCCTGTACCGATGCGTGGGATTATTTTGTCCTAAGTACAGGACTTTGCAGTTGTCCTTGCTGAACTTCATAAGGTTCCTTTTTGCCCAATCCTGCAATTTATCTACGTCACTCTGAATCCTTGCCATACTCCACAGAGTATCTACTTCTCCCCACAGCTTGATGTCATCTGCAGACTTGCTGAGGATGCCTCTATGCCCTCTTCCAGGTCAATGATGAAGACACGGAACAAAACCTGCCCCAGGACCAACCCCTGGGGCACTCCAATTGATACCAGCTGTCAACTAGACATCAAGCCATTGATTACTATCCTGAGCCCAAAACTTCAGCCAGTTTTATATCCACCTTACAGTCCATTCATCCAGTCCATTCTTCCTTAGATTGCTTGTGAGAATGCTGTGGGAGACCGTATCAAAAGCCTTGCTAAAATTTACTAAAATGTGCTAAAAAGATTGACTGGTCTCCCCATGTCCACAGAGCCAGTCATCTCATCATAGAAGGCAATCAGGTTGATCAGGCATGACTTGCCCTTGGTGAGTTTATGCTTACTGTTCCTAGTCAGCCACCTTCTTCTCCACCAAGTGCTTAGAAATGGGCTCCATGATTTTTCCAGGAACTGAGGTGAGACCGACTCATCTGTAGCTCCCTGGATCCTCCTTTCTCCCTTTCTTAAATATGGGCACTATGTTTGCCCTTTGCCAATTATCTGGGACCTCTCCCAATAGTCATGAGTTTTCCAAGATGATGGCCAGTGGCTCTGCAATCACATCAGCCAAACTCCCTCAGCACCCTTGGGTGCATCCCATCTGGCCCCATGGACTTGTACACATCTAGCTTTTCTAAATAGTCCCTATCCTGTTCTTTCACCACTGTTGGCTACTCACCTCCTCCTTAAACTGTGCTGTCTAGTGCAGTAGTCTAGGAGTTGAACTTGCCTGTGAACACTAAGGTGAAATAGGCACTGAGCACTTCAGCCTTTTCTGCATCCTCTGTCATTACGTTGCTCCCAATTCAGTAAGGGACCCACGCTTTCCCTTATCCTCCTCTTGTTACTGACTACATACTGACTCCCAATTATACAGATGGTCTAATAAAAGATATTGCTACCCTGCCTTCTCCAACCCCCCTCCCCCCGCCCCAAAAAAAGAAACAACAACTTGCTCGTTATTCCCTGGACCACAACCACTTTCCTACCCAACTTCAAAAATAGAGACAGATTTAAAAACAGGTCCTTCGCCTTGAAGCAACAATTTTTTTAAAGAATCAAAATGTCCATATCCATGTTAGCTTGTACAATATGGCAATATCAACGCATTTTGGGAGGAACTCTGAGCACTTATTCCCTCAACATGCGACAGGGCAAAAGACTTCTCACAATTCTGAAATGTCATCCCACACAGACACTAGGCAGTAAGAGCATTGGCTAGCTCAGTAGCAGGGTTGGAGTGTAATTGTAGCTGTGATGGTGCAGGAGGCACACAAAAAAATCAAGGGGTTTTTGGTGGTATCTTTTATTGGACTGACTGCATAGTTAGGTGATATGTTAGGCAAGCTTTCAAGCATAAGAAAAACTATTGCTTCCCAGTTAAGGTGTCAGGCCAATCTGCTCGTGCAATCAAAGGACTGGGTTAGAATGAAGTTTCAACCTACCCAAGTTCCAGTCCTAGTTATAAGCAGACTTGAAACAATATATATTCACACAGTTAAAACCAATAATATTATATGGACATACTCATGGTACAGTTTCACATCTATAAATATGACAGGTCTTTACATTTCTCTGCCATACCAGCTAGACAACTACAAC